ACGGCCTCTGCCGCCCGACCCCCCGAATCCGCTACTCACTCTCTTGCGAATCCCTCCGCGGCGTATTATGAAGCCCCTATTGCTCCAGTCGAACACTCGCACCCGCCGCTACTGGATTTGCCGGGGCCCGTCGTGCCTGCTGCCCCCACTTTTTCCGACCAGCAGCATGTCATGCATGTCGATACGAAAGCAACCATCTCACCGGACACGAAAGACCAGCGCGACCATTTGCAAATCCAGCCTCAGTCACTCCAGCAGGTACAACCCAAGCATCACGTCCATCATTCGCTCCCGCCCCTACCCTCGCCACCTCAACGTGTTCCAGAATTTTCAGCTCCGCGGATGCCTCACCAGCACATATCTGTGCCCAAGTATGGGCCACACCAGGAACCGCCGAGAGGGCTCTCCCTGTCATTGACGCAGCCACTTGCTCAGCTTGGGTCTGCTCATGTCGCTTCCTCGCCGCTGGAATCGCAACAACAACAACAACAACAACAACAAGATCTCAGGAAGTCAACCCTTCAGCAGAGGCAGCTACCTCCGATACAGATGCAACCGGGAGCGCAGCAAGCTTCTATGCACTACCAAATCGCAGAGCCTGCAATGCTTGTTGGGGAACGAAAGCAAGAACCGGATGTGCTCCCATCGATGCCCCAAGAGCCTCTCATGTCGATTACATCGCATATGCAGCATAGCCACAGCCACGGCCACAGCCACAGACATTCAATACCCCCTTTCGCCACGACGCAAGTAACCACAACAGTGCAACCGCAGAATACGGAGCATCTCAGCCAGCAGATGAGACAGATGAGGTCACAGAGGCCTTCGCACCAGCATCGAATGTCTCCCTTTGCTCCACAACAACCGGAACCGCCTATTAGAGCCATGGCACCGGAGCTCAGGCCCCCGGAAGTCTTTCAGCCAAAGGATTCGCCCACTCCTCAGCACATGCCGCCACCGCAGCAGCAGCCGCAGCAGCAGCAGCAATCATCACACGAAATACTCTTTGCTGAAGGGCCTGGCTACGTTTCTTCCGCGCGCAACTCAGTCATACGAGAGAACAGGAACGGGAGACAGTCTTCGTTTCTGCCAACGTCGATTGTTCCAAACGCTATACTATTACCTGAGCAGCAGAACGTGATGTTGCAGCAATACCCAGGGAGAGGCGTCGGTCCAGTAGAGCCATCAGTGGGAGGTCAGTCTTCCCATGCATATTTATCGAAGCAGGTGATACAGAATCACCCTTTGCAGCCTGACATGTTTCCAGCATCTGAGATGTTGTCCTCAGCTCAGGTTGGATTCCAGATGCCCCAGGACCACCCCGTAATGTCAGTGCCGGGACCAATGGCGGTAGATCCGAGGCCGACAGCAATACCCTATACCGTCATGCCTCAAGAGCAGTCAGCAACGGTGTTGCTGAACGCTCCTCTTCAGAACCAGTTGGAGCACGGTCTCACTCAGACGATGGGTCCCTCCTCGGACATGGGTATTCATCCCATGGTGCAGCCAGTTTTGCCTGGCCAAACCGCGTTTGGCGTTCCAGATCTACTTCCTGTTGGACAGTTTGTGGTTAGGCCTGATATGCTGGAACAGTATTTGGCTGTTGGCAATGTGTGCCGTGAGATTGGAAGACTCGACCTCGCTGCCAGTACCTTCCGCGCGTGCATGACGATTAGCCCAGATTCCATGGAGGCTCGAGCTGCATACAACGCCTGTTACTACAGTCAGTCTTTCTTCGAACCCTCCATGGAAATCGGCACTGTTTTCCCAGAGGACACCTTCAACGACGTAGGGAATGCGTTGCGCTCTCTCGGTCACACAAGTGAGGCTGAATGTGCGTATAGAGCTGCTTTGAAGATTGCGCCTCGCCATGCGCATGCCTGGAATAACCTAGGCAACGCCATGCGGGCGAAAGGTCAAATCATGGAAGCAATGCAATGCTACACTTCATCGCTTACTTCGCAGCCTGGTTTTGCCGCAGCACACTGCAACCTCGCTGGGTTGTTGCGTGATCAAGGGAAGCCTCAAGAAGCAGAGGCACAATACAGAGCTGCCATCATGTCCAGTCCAAACCTGCCTGAGGCTGCTGCTGGTCTTGGCACTGCATTGCGAGACATGGGTCGTACAGAGGAAGCTGTTTCATTTTACGTCAGAGCCGTCAGCTTGCAACCAGGTGCTGCGGACCATCATGCAAACCTGGCAAATACATACAAGGACCTGAATCGCATAGAGGAGTCGATTATGAGCTATCAAGCAGCACTGTGCTTGCAACCAGACCTACCTGATGCATTTTGCAACATGGTTCATTCACTCAGCGTTATTTGTGATTGGAGGCAAAGAGAGCAAAACTTTGCCACGCTGCTCGCTATTGTCGACCGGCAGTTAGACACTCTGCTTCATCACCCAGCCACGAACCCCCGATTGTACAGCGCACTTGCAGGTGCACTACCCAACTCTACGCCGCAATTGGTCGATGTCTGCGGTGGATCGAGGTCAGAACGGGATGGAGCCTCTGTATCAGCCAGCACCACAAGAGATGAAGACTGCACCGAAAGAACACCACGACGCAAGTTCATTCATCACCCATCATCTCCGACTGTGGTACGGAAAGCTCGAATGCGCGGAGAGTTTGCAAAGTTTATGACGAATTCCCCAGCTGTCGTCGCCCCTGTGCTGGCAAGCGGCCTGCCAAGCGTCCAACCATTCCATGCTCTTATTTATCCTATGAGCCCAGAAAAGTTTCGAGCATTGTCCGCTGCATATGCAACTCGTGCAGAGTCGATGGTGGCCGGTATTCTCCAAGTGAGGCAGAAATGGACCGTACCGAAAGGGTCGCGGCCAAGGCTGAAAGTCGGTTACGTGTCCTCTGATTACAATAACCACCCTTACAGTCACTTGACTCAGAGTATTTACGGTTTGCACGGAAACGGTGGTAATGTGGAATGTTACTGTTACGCATTAACCGCATCGGATCAATCGGCTTGGCGCTTGCGAATTGAGAGAGAATCAGAGCACTTTAGAGACATCTCGAATATGAGTGCAAAGCAGTCTGCCGAGACAATTGCGAATGACGGAATCCACGTTCTCGTGAACTGCAATGGTTATACAAAAGGGGCCCGCACAGAACTCTTCGCTTTGAGGCCAGCACCAGTTCAGGTTTCGTTTATGGGCTTTCCAGGAACATTAGGGGCGCACTACATCGAATATTTCATTACTGACACAGTGACTTCACCACCGGAGATGGCTTCGCGAATGCACTCGGAAGCTTTGCTGTACCATCCACATAGCTACTTTGTCAATGACCATCGTCAGACGAGTATTCCGGGGCCGGCCGCACACCCATCTGGTCGTCTCACAAGGGCTCATTACGGTTTGCCGGAGGACTGCTTCTTATTTCTGATGCACAATCAGTTGTACAAACTATCACCTGACACATTCGACGTATGGGCACGAATACTGAAGCGCGTCCCAGGTTCGAAGCTCTGGCTGCTTCGGTTTCCACCCTCTGGGGAGCGAAGAATACGAGCAGAGGCTGCCGCTCGAGGCTTAGGGCCCGAGCGGCTCATATTCACAGACGTTGCTGGGAAGGAAGAGCATGTCGCGAGAGCGGGGCTTGGTGACTTGTTTTTGGATACACCCACGTGCAACGCTCACACGATTGGGACGGATGTGCTTTGGTCAGGTGTACCAATGATCACATGCCCGGGATCACTGTTCGCTTCACGAGTAGCGGCGAGTTTACTGACAGCCGCTGGGGTCCCTGAATTGATCGCCTCTGACATGAACGCGTACGAAGATTTAGCTGTAGACCTGGCAACGAACAGACCCAAGCTCCAGGCCATTCGAGCCAGAATCGAGAACTCAAGAAGCTCCAACCCACTCTTCGACACGGCAAGATGGGTGAGAAACGTGGAAGGTTTGTACTGGGGCGCCTGGAAGAATTTCCAGGCCGGAAACGCACCAACTCATATTTTTGGAAAAGATGTGTATGATGGGACTACTATGGGGCAACGGCCAGCTCTAGTCGAGAGTCATTATTCAACGACGGACTCTCGCATATCGGAATCATTGTTACCGAGCTACGGACGGTTCTATAGTTCAACAGTTGCCACTTAGTGTGCCAGAGGGCATCACCCATATTATTACCCCACGATACCAACAAAACAACAAAAAGTAGATAGAAGAAGTAGCGTAGATATAGGTATTTCCCGGTTTTGGAAAAATATTAAGAGGCAAGAACTTGCCAATGTATAATGCAAGTCGGCATCTGCCGTCGCCTGCTCTCTTACACAGTCCGTCGGCTCTCGAAATTACTCAGCAGAAGACCCGAGTTGATCTCCACTTCGATTAGCAATCAATCATGGGTGTAACTCCACCTCGACTCGCGTGCAAACTGACCTCAAACGATGTTTGCGAGACCCACCACAGAAGTAAGCTTTGCTCCATGCCGAGTGCGTTACGAGGATGCCGAGTCCAGATATGGAATTAGCCTGTGCGTGCCTGCAGTGATACACAGACGTCTTGCTAGAGGCCATAAAAGTGCAGGGATGATAAAAAGCCTTACCATAGAAACAGCAGCAGCGCAACTAAAAGGCCCCTGATTCCCACGGTCTCGCACAGTACATTTATAACGTCTGTACACACAAATACGCAAGTTCTCAGAGATAATACTGCAGAAAAGACACTTGATAAAAAAAGCCTTTTACCCATATTACACTAATGGAGACATGAGTAGCGATTTATCCCTCCAAGTAAAGGCCACAGGCCCACTTGCGGATATGCAAACGGTTCCATAGCATTTTCTCCCTTTGTCAAGTGAGGAGAACTTTCCTGCGACATATGCGCTATCACGTCGCTTATGGAGGGTCAAATCCTGCCCAATAAATTTATCGTAAATGGATAGTCATTCTCTGATTCAAGGTCAAATACATGAAAGAACGATAGCGAAATCATCGAGCACGACCTGGAAATTTTCGTTGGTGAAGGCGGTCCACTGCCTCATCGTAGTCGTGCTTGGCATGTTTCGTCATGCAGCACAGCGTTACCTTGGTCGCACTGCGGGAAGGTTGCAGAACATTCGCCACGAACCGTGGCGGCCCACATGGCGAAGTGCGTGGCTCGCTCCTCCAAGACCGATTGGGATTCGCGTCAGAACATACTGCGACAATACCTCGCGCGTGACGCGCACTGGTGCGAGATGGTCACCAGAGCGAGAGGCTGCTATCCGTGAAAAGAACAAGAGCTTTGCCGCGTGGATGTTGGCGATCGCCCTTGGAACAATGGGTCTTTCGTACGCTTCCGTCCCGCTCTACCGCGTGTTCTGTCAGGTGACGGGGTTTGGCGGAACCGTTAGACGCGGTGATGGAGAAGAGACTGATGAATTTGTCACAGGCATCGAAGAAGCAAAGATTGTCGAGGACCGCCCGATCACGATACGGTTCAATGCCGATGTTTCGGCAAAGATGCCGTGGCGATTCACTCCATCGCAAGCTGAGATAGTCGTTCTTCCCGGCGAAACTGCCCTCGCTTTTTACGTTGCGAAGAATGAGTCCAAAGAGCCGATCACAGGTATCGCAACTTACAATGTCACGCCCGCAAAAGCTGGGATTTATTTCAATAAGGTGCAGTGCTTTTGTTTTGACGAGCAACGGTTGAAACCGGGCGAGGCTCTCGACATGCCTATCTTTTTCTTCATCGACCCAGAGTTTGCGCAGGACGAGAACATGGCGGACGTCAAGGACATCATGCTCTCTTATACTTTCTTTAGAGCAGAAGACGTGACGCCGGAGCAATTGCAACAGGCCCAAGCTTTAGCTTTTGGGCACTAACTTTTAGTGTAGTTTTTCCCGTGAACTCTTCATGAAACTCATTTGCCGCTGAACTACAGTAGGTTGTCTATTCATAGTAGTAATATAGCGACATGGAGAGAAGCCCCGGCAAGGTGGAAGATTCGAAAAAAAAAAAAAACATCCTAGGGCATTACAGAGATGCATTCGTCCAACTCATTCAAGAGTACGCTGGCGTCATGATGAAGCGCTGCTGCCGCATCTTCCCGCAGTGCACGTTCTAGTGCTGCGTCCACCAAGATGCGATGAAGGCGATCCCTCAAATGTGGGATTTTCATATCTGCTGTTAGTAAAGGCACAAGACGTACAGGATCCACTTTCCCGCCTGCAGGGCTATCAAGAAGAGCAGCCAAGGTGTCTGCGTGCGTCCGTGCGTGATCTATGAGACGTTCCCACAAAAGCTTGTCTCCGTGATCTGAGGCGAACTCTATTGCAACGTGCGTATCCCCAAGTTCATCAAGGAGAATGTCCATAGCTGAGTTCAAGTCTCCCATCCCTGACAACACAAAGACTCTTTCATTGGCAAGTTGTCCTTTTTTGAAGCCCTTCGGACCACCCATTTCTCGCAACGCGCGGTCTAAGGTGTAGTGCTTGCTCGTTCGCAGGAAATTAAACAACATGCCACTGCTCCCATGATCAACATAGAGCTTTAGGAGCTGGTTGTGATATTGCGGGGCTTGGTCTGCATCAATACGGAACATGGCATGCAGGTACATAAAGGTCCACGTGGGATTGTCTATCGTCAATAGTATCGGTACGACAGCTCCCGGAGGAAGTACAGTTTCGGGAGCATGTGAAAGGATATCTGTTGCTGCATCTGAGTCAATCATGTAAAGACCAGAAATCGTATCTCGGGATCGTACTGCCTCATATAGATGATGCGAACGAATGTAGTCATACACCTGGGGCGACTTTTCGCGAAGCAGCAAATTTAGAGTTTCGTCATGTCTCCCGGAGAGGCCATACATCATGAGTAGTCCTTCCCGCAGAGGCTCTCTTTCCGTGGAATTTTGTACTCCTTCCCCCGTAATTGCGAGTCGCTCCTCAATTGCTTTCGTCACGGCTGAGACTCCAAACACATCCGCTGGCCATGTCTTCAGAACCTCAAGCATCACGATCGAATTTGTCCCTGCTAATTCCACAAGAATATCGTTGTAACTTTGTTCCGGTAAACAGGGTTCGTATGTTGGAATTACTGGAGCTACTGTTCCTAGATGTCCGTTTTCCCAAAAGATGCTGATCCACCGCTTCCATCTTCTCACCCGCTTCGCCATAACTCTTTCACGAGCGCGAAACCCAACGTATGGCGCAGTCATTGTGATTGTCTCAGGCAGGACAGAGGCTAGCTTCTTGTAGTCACCAGATTCATGCAAAGACTCCAAAAACTGCTCCCCGACATCCTCTAACGACACCTCTGCCCGCCTTAAACTGCCGCCCGGTGCGGACTGCGCTGTGTGCAGGGCATCGGAAAATCGCCCTTGACCCAAAAGCCACTTGACACGCTCCGCAGTTGTCAGAGATCTTACGTAAACAACACCGCCCACTTCTTCGGCGTTTCCTTCATCTTTTTCGACTCGCAACGTCGCAGATGGCCAATGACCAACTATCAAAACCAGTGGATCACCTCCCGGCACGGTGAGCAAATCAGCATCCCACAAACCATGATATGGCATATGCATACTCTTCACGCTCTTGCCTTCAGATGTAGAGATAAGATGTAAAACCAGCTCATGTGAACGTGTTCCCACCAGGGCAGCAGCATCTCCATCACCGAAAGGGACAAACGAAAGTAGTGGCCCTTCATGGGGCCCTTCAATGGATGTAATATCGATATCGTCTTTAGTGATGTTCTCAGATTGGGAGTCCGCGAAGGAGAGTTCAGCTCTCTCAAGTCTGCAGGTAATCTCGATCTCGCGCTGTGGCGCTTGTTCAGGGGGTTCGACTTCTTTGAGAGGACCAATCTGAACAATCCGCGATCCTGATGGCCAGGTGATATACACCGAAACGGTTGCCTCGCCATGGGGCGAGAGTGCAATATCATCATTTGTCTCCATGTAGACCTTTGTCTTTGGAATCCACCTCCCTTCCTGGACAGTGCGACGGTCACCCTCTGCTTCTTTTTGAATGATTGTTTGCGCTGAGTTTGCTTTTGCGCGAGCAGCTTGCGTGCTAGAGGGGAGTGTCGTGGGTCTTGCTTCTGCTCCTTCTCGCTGTTGACCAACAGCGCTTCTTCCTTTGCTTCTGAAGCCCCCGCTGTGATCACCAGCCCATGTGCTAGGTTTCCCCACAGTGGCGGGTGATGCCGGAGCTGTGGAGCCTGGTCCAGCGATGACACAGATGGCGCGATTTGCCCTGGTATCGTGAACCTTGACTGCGTCTTTCCCAGCAACTACCAACATATTTTGCATCCATTTAAGGTCTGTAACCAACATAGCAGACGGCTCCTCTACAGTGTAATCCGAGCCTCCAAACCATCCAGAAGTATGAATACAAACACGTCCTCCCTGCTCCGCGTACGCAACCCGATATCCATACCTTGGCTTCCCAAAGTTCGGGTCAATGGCAAGCGCAAGTACTGGATGTGCGGCATTCTTCACAAAAGAAACCGTTGCCTTTGTGAGCATACCCGTGCCAGAGAGGTCATTCCCTACTACGAGCCCCGCCCCAGTGAACAAGCGAGCGACGCGTATGTCATTACGCGCAGAGCCTACTGAGGCAATAACTTCATCGCAAAGGGCGACGGCAGATACGGAGCCAACGTGAAGCGCTTCGTATGAGTCGAGGAGGTTGCCAAAGACGTCGTACAGGGTGAGTGTGCCGTTCGAAAGGCCGAGTAGGACGAACTTGGATGAGGCTGCCGCACAAGTAACGAAACTGGAGGGGGTGGGGAGCGTAGCGAAAGAGCCGACGGAGAATGCCGGCTCCGCCATGACGGCAACTCGATGGCGCCGTATGGAAAGCTCTTGGCGTGCGACAGGAGAACGTTAACTTGAGTTTGAGAGAGGAGGCGAGCATACGAAGAGTTGGTACTGTACGATTCGTAGCGGTGAATTGGATAGCAGTTACGATGCTTACAGAAACATGGATGTAAATATCATTGCCATTGCTGGCACAGGGCAAGTCAGAATGGAGATCTTTCAATGTGGAGGACGATTGGTTCAAAAGAATGCTTGCCACGTATGTGCAACAAGGGCAGCCAAGCACACATACTGTACTGTAGGGATATGTTGAGCTTTGAACAATCCCCCTTTCAACAGAAACAAGTCTTCTGATACTGTAACGCTTGGTCGGATAGACGCTACCTTAGCGAGCTCTGATAGAACACAAACCTTCTATGCCAAATTGCGAGAAGATTAAATCAACAAGCCCGACGATGATTTTAAAAGACTTGAACAATGAGGAAGATGCCATGATGTCCCTTGAATGTTCACAAGAAATTTGTCACATGGCTGTTACTTTTGGTATCATCCACGAATTTTATTGAAAACTTCACAGTGGAATTCTCAGTTGACTTAAACAGTGCGTTATGTCTCTGAAACCAGAAGCGGCAGACTTCCATTCATCAAAGGCGTTTATACGCCCCATACAGTGAAGAAAGAAGACGAGAGCATTGTATTACCAACGGCCTAACAAGTGGGAGTAAGAACGTCTTCGTACCTTTTCTCGTTCAACATACTTTCTATCTCTCTAAAGTTCATTTTTATGATGGCAGAGAAGCAATTCCTTGTATTTCAGTGTGACTGTTCCAATGACTTAACTTTTGATTTACATATGCTACCTAAACCGACCCCTCAGTCCATGCCCGTCCATAGTTTCGTATAAATCATGTTCCCTTCGGGATGTAGCTCAATTCGCAACTGGATTTTTCTTGTATTAATAGTCATGTCAATCACGAAAGCCTTGTTGTGAGGCGATGATATGCATTCTCACAAACACTTTCGGATTCAATCGTATCAAACTGTGCCTTCTGGAAACAGCTTTATTCCATATCCTTTTCGAGAAAGTGAAGGAGGACTACCAGTCTTTTGCGGAGTCTTACGAAGAAAAACTGCAGTGAAGTTATACCTTGACTTCCTGCGCAGCAGACTTCGAAATAGATTTTCGATGAGCAAAATACTCCATAGATGACTGTGATTTTGGTTTATAACTTATGCAATTTCAAGACAAAGAAAACACCTGCATGTGTGATATCGCTACAGGCATAGAGAAACGTTTTGTTTCATTGGGACCTGCAGGTCTCTTCATAAATCGGCGAATGCTACATGCAATTTCTAAGTGTAGAGATTTTTAGGTGCACAAGACTTATCTATGTCAGATTTCGACATCCAGCAGATATCCTTTTGTGGTTTGTGAAAGTTTTTCTTTGTAGAGAAGAATGAGGGGGGTCCGAGATGGAATCGCTTGGTTCAAAGCATGCTTATGCGTTGAGAGCCGTTGATGGAACCCAATTTGATGTTAACTGGACTGATGACATTGTGACAATCGGACCGTTGTAAGAAAAAGATGTGTAATCCCCTTCACTATCTCGCATCTTGTCACACGCTGATTCGCAATAATCCCTGCCAGCTCACTTTTTTCGTCCAGAGGTAAAAGTTATAGTTCGACGCGGCTGTAGCTCTCGACGATAGGCTCTGGAAATCAGCTAACCTGCCACCCTAAAGAATAGCAGCCAAACTTCCTCGCCTGCGCCTGGATACCCTGAGTGCAGTGTACGTCTTCGCCATATGAGTGTGCGATGCTGCGCCCTGGTTTGTAGCTAGGTAGCCAAAAATGACGACTACTAGCTCTTTCGCGGAGCCTTTTCGCCTTGTAACGCCAGGTGAATCGCTGTATAACCGCTGTTCTATGAGACCATGTCCACCCGCTTCTGCCATTTCACTCTTGTTTCCTCCCCCTCACCTCCTTCATTCCCGTGCCACCCATATCCATGCATCGCTCCAGAGGACTTCGCCATATGCTCACTACCATATCAAGTGCAACTCCCCCCTGAAACCAAGCATAATTTTCGTTTGCATTCACACCTCGCTCCTGCTGCTTTTTTTTTGAACTGGGTCCTCTGGAATCTACCACAACCTTTCGTCTTCATGCGCCTATTTTACACAGGATGTGCTAATCAGTTGCAATCGTGAACGAGAATGTATCTAAAGTAAGTGAGATAATTGTGGGATGGAATGTTGACGTGTGACATTGACACTGAAAGACACTGCGGGTGCGTGACGGCATTCAAAATCCTCCTCAAGCCGCACTTTTTCATAGAAACTGTGTGATATTCGTTTGGTAATTTTGAGCCCCACTCAAGAAAATCGTTTCAATTTTCACCGCTACCATATGCAAGATGAGCAAGGAGCATTATCGCTTGCAAGCTCCACGCAACGCCTGGGTCTTTGAATGTCGACGAGTCCGACTTGCGGCAACTTGGGACCGCAATGGGAAGTGACGTGATACCTGCCGAAGCGGGGACGTACGTCACACAACAGCCTTCATCGTTGGCCGTGTTAAGCGGAGCACCGGGCAGACGAATGCCGAGATGGCGAATCATTTTGTGCACGGTAGCAATGGCAGGGGTGCAAGTATGCTATGCTGCACAGATCAACCATGGAACGTCCGAGCTTCTCCTGCTTGGAATGTCATCTCGTTTGGTGTCATTGGCGTGGCTTGCAGGGCCCTTGTCAGGTCTTGTGATGCAACCACTTGTAGGGCGTTTGTCTGATCGGTGCACAAGCAGACTTGGCCGACGTCGCCCTTTTCTCATCTTAGGCTCTATCTTGACCTCTTTATCGTTGCTAATGTTCTCAAATGCAGAGCTCCTGGCCGGCGTTTTCGTCGATGGGTCGAAAACAAAATCTGTCGCCTTGTCAATTGCGATTGTTGCTTTCTTTCTCATGGACTTTTCCATTCAGATCGTGCAGGCACCATTGCGGGCTCTTGTTACTGACGTCGTCCCTAAGAAGCAACGAGCGCTTGCAAATTCTTACATTGGCGTGTTCTCAGGCGTAGGACTACTTGTTGGTGGATTGCTCACTTCGATTAGTCTACGGCGAATATTGCCGGTGTTCCGTTCGGATGTTCAGGCTCTTTTTTTCGTCGCATCGGCCGTCCTTTTGATTGCAGTCACTGTGTGCGTGATTTCAACGAGGGAGGAAGTGGTACCGCGAGGGGCTTCATACGCGCCGTTGTCCTCACCAGAAGAAGAACAAGCGGAACGATATGCAAGGCAGCGTAGGCCCCCGCTAGAGGGATTGCGCAGAGTTCCACGGCCTTTCTGGCAGGTATTTACTGTGCAGCTTTGTACGTGGGTTGGATTCTTCACACTGTTCGTGTACAGGAATGCATGGGTTGGTCGAAATATCTATCTCGGTGATGGGAACGCTTCTATGGGTTCGGAAGAGCGCAGAGTGTTTGAAGAAGGTGTTCGCCTCGGAGGTAGGGGTCACGCTCTGATGGCGGCGATTACGCTCGGATACTCGCTAATATTGCCAGGGTTGCTGAGGTGTTTCGGGGTCGTGAATGTGTACGCATTTTCGCAAGTTGTGGAAGCGATTTGCCTCCTTGTCGCCCCTCTCATCCGAGGCATGGAGGGTCAAGAGTATCCAGGTGCGGGTCTTCAAGCCGCGACTCTCATTGACATCGGGATGTTTGGTGTTGTGTGGGCGACGACAATGGGAGTGCCTTGGACATTGGTTGGGGATGCACTGGAGTCTGATGAATGGTATGCAAGACGCGTAGGACTATTTCAGACGGTATTCAACGCATCGCAGAGCTTCCCTCAGCTGGTAGTTGGCGCGGCTATTGCGCCCGTGGTGCTGATTATAGCAAATGACGATCCGGCGTACGTGATGTTTGCGGGAGGGTTGTTTGCATTGTGTGGCGCAATATTGGTTGTGGTGCTGCGAGTGAACGTTTTCGAGGCGACGGAGAAACGGGGGATGCGGCATTTGAGGAACAGGGATGAAGATGCGTGGGGATTTCTTTCCTCGGATGAGGAAGACGAGAATGGGGACAACGCAGGAGGGTTTTAGCAGCAGGACTGTCACGTTGACGTTTCTTTGTTCGCCATGATTGCGACTGTACCGTAGTCTAGCACTAATACTGTAGCAGGTGTTGGTTTCAATTGTTACACTGGTTACACGGCGAGGCTGAGGTTAGATTAGCGTTCAGATGGGAAGGTAGATTGATTGCGCGTCGGCTGTACATTTGGATGAGGGAAGAAGAGATGGGCATTTTGGCTGTTGCGGTGCCGGGCGCAGGTGCGAGGCACACCACAATAAGAATACAGCCATCTCATTTTTCTGCATACCTGTATGTTGCTCGAATTCACATGGGGAGTACAAGGGTATACCATACCCAAAGATACCGTCAGAGGGCGAGCTAGGATCTAGCAGATCTTCCCTTCGAAGGATATACTGTAAGGGTGACCCCACCGCCAACAAAATTTCAGTCCTAAAATTCCAACTACTAAAGTTTGGACCGATGGAAGAGATTTGAACCCCACCGCGCCAGCATTTGTCCTAAAGTTTAGAATTTGGGCAGGATTCTTTTCCAAACCAAAATTATTTGGTCGAGATTTTTGTCCAAAGCGCCGTTTGGGCGATCTTCGTTCTATAGTAACGGTACAGAAAACATCTGAATTTCATGTGCTTACAGCTCTACCAAAGCTCTTCCAAATGACTTTGCGCCAATTGTGCAACAGACGCGTGCAGTAGCTTGCTTCTTTGCGCCAAATGTATTTCTACGACAGACTTGTAGCCTAAGAGCATCCCCACCGGCGAGTGTAAAGTGCTAAATATTTTAGAAACTTGGCGAGCCTTGATTGGCCTCTCGCTATTATACACCTTTGCTTTTTTAAGACCTTGCCGAGAACTGCATTGACCTGCAGGTCAACCCCACCGGCAAAAAACCGCACCCTCCTACTTGTGAAGTGCATGCTCCTACTCACTGAAGTCCGATGCAAACGCCTTTACAACCTCCACGGAGTACCATTGGCATCTCTGACTTCGTGGAGGACGACATTCTCGATATTGTTGAGGATGTTTTGTCTTCGGACAGCGACAGTGAGCCCCCAAAACACAAAGGCTCTTATCCGGGGAAAAAGCCAAATCTCGAGCCCAACCCAAAACGAGAGCGAGGTGCGCAACTGCTAGTGACGGCTGTCCCTTCGAAAGACGTACGGTGGCTGCCAGACAAACTTACGTTTGGTGCAGACATGAACAGGATGGGGAGGAGTGTTGGTGGAGACTCGCCTCTCCACTGGAGAGAGAGGCTCAACTTCAAGACCCCTTCAACCAACTTTCACTTCGCGGGAAAATGGAATTTGAACCAATCAGCGTTTGCCACCTCAAATGCATAGTTCTAAATTTTGGTGCTATATTCTCGATTTTTACAACCCGAATTTATCTCGATGTAAAAAGTAATGCATCTTTTCGAAACGGTGGGAGTAGTGAAGAGGGGTGTAAAATATTAAAGTTGTAAAAATTCGTTTTTTTACAACTTTAGCCTCACTGGTGGGGATGCTCTAATTGGGGTGACCCTGAATATGATAGAAGTATCGTGTTACAGGCGCGGTGGGGTTCATCTCTGAATCACCACCTCCCCCAAAGCGCGGCTTGATTAAAAGATAGTAGATCCAATTACCGGAGGACAACTGTCTGCTTTTTGCGATTTTGGCCAAGGCGCGGTGGGGTCACCCTAACATTAGTAGATAACAAGACATTGGTGCTTGATTGCCAACCGCCCAATGGATTTTGATACAGTAGATGAGCAAAATGGAAACTGCTCTGAATCTAATTTCTGAAAGACGCCCGGAACAGGGTTTGTCCCATTGCAAGAGGTATTGCAGGACGCTTCGTGGCAATAGGGCAGTTCTCTCTGGGAAGAATGTTTTTCTTGTTTTGATCTAGGCGAACGATTGCTGCGTGGTGGATTACAGTTATCCACTGAACGGCGTGAGCAGCATGTTTATTGTTGCAATGTGCAGAGTTAATTCATCCAGCAGGCGTTGTGATTTGCTTGAATGTCCGGAGTTTGCAAACGAGCGTACAAATTCTTTTGTGGAGGAATGGGTGAAGATTTAATTTGTCCACACGACCTGAATTTATGCTTTGGCCTGAAGGGTTTTCTCGAGAGCGGCCTACCCGATCATTTGCTTTGCCACATCCAATGGAGTCGTTGCAAGTGTCCCTGAGGTTGGTACCCTGACAAGGAAACCTCCCGTAATCACCAATCATCGTCGTCAGAACCGAAATTCCCACGTGTACGTCCAAATGTTGACTGACGGCGGCCTCGTCATCAACCTTCGTCAACGACTTCAGGTCCCTCGGCACAGTAAGTACAGAACTGTGTATCACATGTGTATCATCCGTCTTCACGGCAGCATTCCATTCATGTGAAAAGGTCCCTTCCTCCTTCCGCCAGCGCTTCTACACATCCACACTCGACCATCTCCTCTACTTCCACATTCGGATGACCCTTCTCAACGAGATCCGCCCTCAGCGATGACTGGCATCGCCCTCCGTGCCCGGTTGGCCGTCACCCTCACTCTGGTCGCCCTCCTGTTCGTCTGCTTCTGCTTCTCCGACGCCCAGTTGGACCTTGTTGCAGCCACATGTCCGGACGTCGGCACCATTGACCAGCATTCCGTGCGCCTCATCCAGTCGCACCTAGAGCGTATGCTTCCAGCCTCGACTTTCTTCTCCGTCTTTTCCGTCAATTTGGATAAGGGCTGCCCTTTCTGGCAGGATGACGCTCAATGCGTCATCCGCGAATGCTCCGTTTGCCACTGCGATGACTCGGAAATCCCGCCCGCCTGGCTCCGCGAGCCCCACAAGGAGAAAGCCTGCCGTGATGGCGAGGCTTGCACCAAACAGGATAGGCTCAACGACGTTGACCGCAGCTTGACGGGACTCGCGGCGTTGGTTGGACAGCCGGTCTGGCATACAGCCGACAGCGATGCCTGGACCATCCGCGACGAAGAGGACGACAAGTTTTTCGTCGATTTGCGAAAGAACCCGGAGCAGTACACGGGCTACTCTGGCCCCAATGCGAGGAGGATTTGGGAAGCTGTTTACGATGAGAATTGCTTCACCTTTTCGCAAAAATGCAGGTCCGGCATTTGTGACGTCGATACTTGCAAGGAAGAACGCGTCTTGTACACCCTTATTTCGGGTCTGCACGCGTCAATCAGTATGCATATTGCGAAGCGTTACCTCCTTGGCGAGCGGTGGGGCGTCAATACAAGCATTTATCGCGAGCGTTTGCGGGATCATCCGGAGCGGATAGCCAACCTCAAGCTTGCGTTTGCTGTGGTTTTGCGTGCTGTATCAAAGGCATCGACCTCTTTGCACCCCGACTCCTACCCGTATGTCACTGGGAATAAGGAAAATGATGACAACACACAAAAAGAAGTAAAGAAGCTCCTATCCTTCCCGATTTTGCAACCGGGCTGTGAGGACAAGGTCTTCGACGAGTCGGACATGTTTTTGGAGAAGAATGAATACTTGTTGCCAGAGTTCAGATCTGGCTTCAGGAATCTCAGCATGATCATGGATTGCGTTGGTTGCGAAAAATGCCGGTTGTGGGGCAAGCTGCAATTCCTTGGACTGGGCACTGCGCTTCGCATTCTCTTTGAAGAAGAAACTCCCAACCTGGAGAGAAACGAGTTGATTGCTTTGTTCAATGTCTTCCACAAGCTCTCAAGCAGTGTCATCTGGGTTGAGAAAATGGAGGCGCTCCTCAAACGCGACTCTCGTGTGAAAGCAAGGTTCGGCGCGGTCGTTGCTGCCATTTTGTTGATTTTCTTAGCGTTGCAGCTCCGGTCACGGAAGGAACAAAAAAAGCCAGAAGAGAAGAAACCTGAGGACGAAGATTCGGGGCGCAAACCACATTCTCAGTAGGGACATGGCATCCTTCCAGTTGGAGCCTTATTGATAGATTAGATCCTTCCCTTTGTCTCCGAAACCCATTTCTACGTTTTGAGTCTTCCGGCCAAGACGATCGAGGACGATCAATTCACCGGGGCTGGCTCTTGATCCTAGGCTCAAGATGAGATGAGAGGCGGAGAAGCCGATAATCACAAACAGTGTGAAGCGAAGATTCTACTGTACATAGTGTGTAGTTCTTAAACAAGACAAATGTCGTCCTGAACATGCCGCTTGAGCTGCACTGCCCAAACTATTATCACAACTAGCCATGGCCGCAAGGCGCTCTGGCGCAAAACTGAAAACGCATCTGCCTCTGAGGATGTCGAATTCATACGATCCATCTACCGTAGGCATTTTGTCCATTCGTCTAGTGACATGGACTTCATAGTTGTGTTTTTCAAAGCAGTGTTAGGCACACTGCGTGAAAGGTTTGTTTACATGGATGTCAACAGCAGCTCACATCCGGAGCGGCTTTGCATTAACTATTTTCGATTCTTCGACTTGCAAGGGCCATACATGCAATTCGCAGGGTTGTCTCGTCATGCTTCGCAGACCCAAACGTAGGCACGGTGCGATTCATAAAGAGGGTCAAACTCTTGACCTTTGCAGCTACTTCCGCATCTTTCTTTACACCGGACGAACGGAATTCACTAGCCTCTGCACACTCGAAGCAACTCATGATGAGTCCTGCGAAAAGGGGCGCCAAGGCTGCGTTAGCACGTCCTTTCTTAGCTTTGACTATTAAATACTTGCTCGATAGCGACGACAAAGTGAGCCGCTTTTCAACCTTATCGCGAATACCAAAGCGTTGAATGAGGCATATGCGACACACCGACATGCGCATGTCGGGGTCCGTAATGGCGAAAATGAACAGCCCCAAGCTGGCGGGTTGCTCATATGCGAGACGCATGCAACTGTTAGCTAGTCTTGTTCGGACATCGTCTCTCACGGCTTGAGTTTGGTTCTTGATGTAAGCAGCATATAAACGGCTTAAGGCTTCCTGAAGTCTCGGCCCAAGGTCGCTGATAGTCATTGGCAGCAGTTCCGTAAATGGGGAGAGAAACGCTGCATGATGCATGACGGCATCTTTCAAGAAACGTGCTGTCTCTCCGTCCTTCTCCATCGCAATTGCGAAGACTTCAATCGCCATAGCTAGGTTTGCCGAACGTACATCGTCGAGACTTTCCTTCTTGTCCGAAAACTCCGATGTGTGACTCGCTTTCGCGTTGTAATATTCTTCGGCATCCCCCACGCCAGGGCCTGCAGTTGCGTACAACGACAAGGCGGGAGCAGTCTGTATCAACGGCTCGTCCCTTGCTGCGCTCGCGACCAAATTGGTGAGCACTGCAGCGACGCGCCCCGACTCCTGCGCAGTAGAAAATCCCAGACAGGCACCTGGGGTTTCCAGAGGCAATGAAACGGCTCGCGTGAGCACCTCATATGCGGCGACAGCGTCGCGAGTACTGGGCGCACGGAGCAGGAAGGACATGAGCGCACGGTAGAGGGTGGCCGGCATGGTTTTCTGGAGCTGAAGGTCTGTCTGAGAAGCCTCGCGCATGCACCAGCGTAGCGCAAGCTCCGGGGCGATGTCAGCAAGCAAATCGGTCGCCATTGAGGCCAATGGCATGACTTTGGCCGATGGACGAGCCATGATGTCACCGGAGGCACGCGTGCGCAGTATTGTTTCTGCGCTTCAGCATGGAGTTGAGTGAGGAAATTTCGCGTGGTTGCGGTGTGCGGTGGCTGGGGAGGATGGGCGCGTGCTTCGGGCTTGGACGGTTTGTGAGCGAGGTGATGCCGGAACAAACTTTGCTTGTTGCCTTGTTGCCTTCGTCCATGCAGTTTGGCGCCAAACCGACGTGTTGGCATAGCCACTCTGCGTAATACTGTAGTTCAATCAGACAGGCCGAAAAGCGTTCACTGGAGGACATATCTCTCGTAGTACAGTGAGTAATAGTGCGCAGAACTGAAAAAGCAGAAGTGCCATATTGCGGTATTCGTTGCAACGGCACCGCACGTGTACACGATTGGATAATCCGGATGGGAAGCTCCTACTGGACGAAACAGATCCGGGATCCTACCAGACCCGACGACGACGTGGCTCAGGTCACTGTGAAGGCGGTGGCGTAGAACTGCCCCCACTACGCCTTGCGCACCTGCAAACCAAGTTAATTGAGCAGCTTCTTGTTCTGTAAATGTCAGGCGGACGTCGTCGCATTGCATTTGTTCGGTTTAACCCCTTTCGTTCTATCCCCCCTTCTTCGCTGATATTTGCCGTATTGCTCGGTGTCTCCTCTGGCATTTACATTTTCGACGACATAGTACGCCAGTCCGCAATCCGCGTATCGAAAGAAAAGAGCGTCTCCAGCAATGAGCCGTGAGAAGAAGAAGGGAACTTCTGGAAACGCTAAGGCATTCATAACCCGTGCAAAGGCACTAAAGAAGCTTCAACTCTCTCTTTCCGAGTTCCGCCGTCTTTGCATCCTCAAGGGGATTTACCCGCGCGACCCCCGCAAGAAATTGGAAGGCTCCGACAAGACCTACTATCTGCGAAAGGACATCGATTTCTTGCGACATGAGCGTCTCATTTCTACTGTTCGACAGGAGAACGCACACAAGAAGAAGGAGGTCAAGGCTCGCGCGAAGAGGAGAATTGATGTCCTGAAGCGTCTCGCTCTCAGTAAGCCGAAGGCCCGTCTCGACCATCTCGTGGTCGAGAGGTACCCGAATTTTACCGATGCTATTCGCGAGCTGGATGACCCGGTCTGCGTCGTCGCTCTGTTCGCAAATTTGCCTGCTGACCACAAAGTTGGTATTAAGCCGGAGCGTGTCACCAACTGTCAACGCCTGCTCAAAGAATTTCACAATTTCGTCGCCGAGACGAATGCATTGAAGCGTTGTTTCGTGTCCATCAAGGGGTACTATTTTCAGGCGAGGGTTGCTGGCGAGCTTGTCACATGGGTCACTCCACACCGCTTCAGTCAGGTCTTGCCTGCGGATGTCGACTATTCTGTTATGCTCACCTTTTTGGAGCTGTATGAATGTATTCTCAGCTTTGTTAACTTCCGCTTGTATACCAGTCAAAATCTTGCCTACCCTCCGAAAATCAGTCGCGTCGCAAACGCGAAAGGCTTGGAACTGGCAGCAATTGAAGTGGAACGGAAGTCAAGTCGCGCGAATGGAAATGCGCCCATGGGACTGCAACTGGACGAAGAGGTACCAGATCAAGAGCGCGTTTCAGCCCAGGCCGTTAAGAAGGCACAGCAGATGGTTATGGACGCCGGAAGCGAGGACGAGGAGGACGAAGAGAACGAGGAGGAAAAGGACGGAAACAAGCAAAGCACTGGGAGCAAGGAGGCGAATGGTGTACAAGGCGAATTGTCTGATGACGACAGAGATGTGAATGACGTTTCTTCGGCACGAGGGGTATTTGATGAGACCTTATTCGTACTTGGACGAGAAGTCCCATACACAGAACTAGAATTTGTTCTGAAAGCATCTGGTGCAGCTCGAGTAACTCGAGAAGACGACCTCGTTGAGGGTCCGAACCGATTAGAGGGATACACCCATTGGATTATCGACCGACCGAAAATTGTTGGTCGGAGAGACATGTCCCTGGAATACGTTCAGCCCCAGTACATATTCGATTCTATCAATGCGGGAGTAGCACTCCCAACTTCCCTATATTCACCAGGCAACAATCTTCCACCTCACCTCAGCCCATTCGTTACAGAAGAGGACGATGGAGGATACCGACCCTGGTTTAAGGACGTTCTGGACCGCATTAAGGCAGGAGACACCTCTGTCGTCGCAGAAGCAGCTGCCGTTGTCTATGCGGAGGGCAATGCGAAGACGAAGGGAGGAATGGACAAAGGCGGGGAGGCTGATTTGGCAATGTCGGGAGAACAGCGCCGGGCGAAAAGGAAGCTTAGTAGAGGTTCTCAAGGAGATGAAGCGAGTAGTATGCAAGATCCCGCAGAATCCCACAAGCGGAATCTGGATGAGAACGAAAACAAATTTGGTAAGAACGTTGAGAAGGAAGCGTCTGGCATCGAACGAGTGGGGTCCGGGGGTGTGACAACAAAACAGAGTGATGGGTCAAATAATTCGAAACCGGAAAACGAGGGCACAAGCGTCGACAGCATGTCAGAAGAAGAAAAATCTGAGGAGGAATCAGAAGAGGAGGAATCGGAGGAAGAGGAGGAGGAAGAGGAGGAGGAAGCGATGTCAAAGGAGAAAGAGTCAGAGATAGCTAAAGAAGGGAAGGAAATGGCCGCACTGATGATGAGCAGGAAGAGGATGAAACAGTACAAAAGGCACAAACGCGAAGAGCAAGCCAAGCAGGTGGTCAGAGATCGTCTCACCGCCAAACGGAAGCAAATAGAAAGCGAGCGAACTCCAGTGGCTGAGAAGACAAGAAAACGCCGCAAGTCGAAAGCGTGAATAAAACGGATGTAGCGCTTTGCACCTTGTTTCTGTTTTGATGTTATTGCCTGTTATGACGAGTGTTTAGTTAGAAGTGTCACTATTTGTATTGCGACAATGGTTATTCTCTCCGTTTTCTGTTTTCAGATAATCTCCCAAGTTCTGTTCGCAAGGAGGCAAGAAGTTCCTTGGAAACTGTAACGAGGAGCGACCGTGATTCGGCACTGAGCCTTTGCTTCTTTGCCCTGTACAAGCAGTCCTCGAGTTTCTCTTTCGTGAGCGCAATGAAAGCTGCACAGGATGCTTCAAGAACGAAACTCTTGGAAGCAGTCTCAAGCACTGCGAGCAGCGAATTTTTCATTTGCGAAGCCATTTGGGAAACGTCTAGTTCCGAAATTACAGACTGGAACTTTCGCTGCGCTTCGCCCGAAGGTTTTGTGGACTCCATCTTGAGACTGGAAAAAAGGCTCCCGAAAACTTCTCGCTCCGCCCACTTCGCCATTACGTGCCTCCAAACTCTTGCAGAGAGGTGAGCGAACGGGATTAAATATTCAGGGATCTCTGCTCTGTCCAGCGTCGTAGCGATGTAACCGTAGCATTGAAGTTTCACGGTGCCTGACACCCGCTCAATGCAGCTGTGTGTTGATATTTCAGTGCTTCTCATTGCAGCGGCAACCAAGCGCTCGCAGAGAGACCTCGCCGGATCAATTTCCGCAGTTTTGACGGGTGGTCCTTTGAATAGATCATACTCGGAAGCAGTCAAGATGTCACATAAATCCATACTTTCCTGAACATGGAAGAAAAACTCGGCTCTGGCATGATCGGAGTTCATGTCCATCGAGTTGGACAGAGCAGAAATATATGATGAAACTTGCTCTGCTGCCAAGGACTTACATCTGTTGGACATATTTTGAGCAATATCTAAGTAGTTGGACATACATGCCGTTACATGTTCTGTACATGTAAAGGCATTTTCGCTTCTGTCGAGCCTGGAACTTCCGGAAAAAGAAGCACTTTTTGAGACTCTTGAGAGTGGCTGCGAATCTTGGTCATCACGCCTTACTTTCTCATTCTCTGTCAACTGCAAACTCGTGCTGTATTTCCGCTGGATGGCTGTGTCATTTTCGAAATCAATGTCGCCATCAGTTGCAGACGCTTCCATCGTCTTCACCAAGATATCCGCATTTCGGATCCAGTCGCCATCCTTTACCCCTCTGACAATCAGCTGAAGATAGCGCGATACGGTAAGGTATATGCAGGCTCGCATGGCGTCGTTTCTCTCCTCTGTCAAGAAGACATCGATGATTGCATCCGTGCTTATCAGCCTTCGCAAAAGGCCTGGAAGGGATATAATCTCTTCTTCCGATGCTGCCCCCAAAACGTCTGCGAAGAGTTGGCACGCTTGAATACCCTCTACAACAGCTGCGTAGAATAAGTGGTTGCTAAAGATTTTCGTCTCGCGAACAATTGTCCCACCGTCAACAAGCCTGCCTTGCATCCTTTCCATGCCAGCATGTAATATTCTCATTGTTAGCGCCGAGGAAAGAGAAATGAAATGCTCGAGAAGTTCTACAAACTTGCCCTTTCCGAAGATAGCGAGGCTTTGTACTCCTTTCAAAAATTCTTGTCTCTCTGTAGACATGGAATCTCTAAAACGACATTTTCGAATCATTTCGAAAGAGCCCTTTGCTATGAGGTTTCGCTCTCGGTCATAGATCTGATCAATATGTTCCTTCAACATAGGCATTAAGATTGTTGATGCTTCTTGCTGTCTCTGCGACAACAACCCTTGCACTCTTCCAACTGCCTCCATATCAGCAAGGGGTGATAACCGGCGCAGAGCAGCTACTTTTGTAGCAATTACTCTTGTGGCGGCTTGAAAATCTTCCCCATCAAATTCTGCCAGGTTGAGGGAAGCATCACATGTGCCAATACCATCCACCAGTGATTGCTCCGATTCTTTGAAGGAAAGTGTTTCAATCAGTTCTGTCAGAAGATGGCTTAAGCGGGAGGTGTTTGACCGTTGAACCTCTAATAGAGTGACACCGTCATGTATATCCTTAACCAAGGAGGCATACGGGGCAAGGATGAGCTTGCACTTTCCCAACCATGGTTGTGCATGTTTCATCGCACTCACGAGAGAATCGTAAGACCACTGGTCTCCGTTCGTCTCTTCGAGGGATTCCTCGTTTTCTGCTGCTTTCGTGCTCTTTAAATCCCTATGCCAGGTCGACATGGACTGTTCCTCCACGCTTACAACGTCTGCAATGTTTTTGTTTTCCAACTGGCCTATCCTGGCCTCTGCCCAACAACTCAAATCGCTTAATGAATAGCAATTGTTCTCTGCCCGGAAGACTTTAAGTACAGATGTCAGATGGTTTTGTTCTTGTGATGACAATTTGAATAATTTCTTCTCTTGCAGTAGGTTTCGCTCAACAACTACTTTAGCAGTACTAGCCTCTCCCATTTTCAGTCTTTGTTGAAAGAGTCTCGCTTTTGGGTCGCTCTCTTGATTAGAATCAAAGGTTCCATTAATCTTCATCTCAAAGGATTTATTGGCCCCCATTCGTTTCGCAGCGGCTAAAAATGCTCTCTCGTCAATATTCATTTCTCTCAGCTTGGGGTCATGAGCCCGTTGAACCGGAGCAATTGTGTCTGCCCTTTTCGGAAGGAAGCGGTCAGAGTCAGGGTCAGAAGTATCTTTGCGGTCCACATTTAGCTTGCTGGCCTTTGGTTCCGACAGCGTACGCTTCACTTTTTGCGATGCCATTTCGTGCATTCTTCTACCGCGGGCACCCGCGAGGGATTCTGATGAAGCGTCCCGAACGCGGTCTCCAGGAGTACTAAAAGGAGTTTCATCAATGTCTTCGAACAAGGCGTCGGTTTGGCTTCGCCCTTGAACTGAGTTAGAGTTTCTCGCTGTGGTGGACGTGGAAGCCGACCTAGTTTCATTTGGCGAGGCCGTGGGGTTCACCAACGAATCTGAGTGATTGGCATTAGCTCGCATGAGATCCTCGGATTGTTGTTCCCTCTCAGCTGCAAGCTCATCTAGGGAACTGGTTAACCGGTTTTGTTTTGCTTCTGCTCGCACTCGGTCAGATGATGAGTCATCTGCGCCGGCCTTGTCGCTATGGACCAGACTTTCAGCCATTGTCTGCAAGTCTAGAAGCAATAAATTAATGACAGGGGGCGCTCTCTTGAGGTGAGAGACGCACGTTTGAAGCAAAGACCATAGGAAGGTGGCCCTTTCGTGTGGAGTATTGCAGCGCCAAGCGGTGACGCGATTGGAGATGGCAAAGTACAAAGTGAACTGGCGGCTTTCCTTAACCGGTCTCCCCAGGCCGTCAATTTTTCGCAGGTCAGCGAGTGGCCATGTTCGATGCACGGCCGCTCTTGCGCCGGGTCCGTGGTCGACAAGCTGGTGCAGACGTATGATATCGCCGGCCTTGCCATGCGAGGCGACGGCGAGATGGTATGTGGGCCGCGTGTCGCCCGCCGCGGGGGTGCGCGAGCGTCGGAGACGAGACTCGCGAGAAAAGAGGCGGCGCATGCCGGTGACATCCGAGGTGGTGAGGTCGCCGGATAGATCCGGCAGGCGAGGTAGGGCGGCGCGGGGAAGGGCGGCGGAGGTTGTGGTGGACGCTGCGGTGACGTGGGTGGTCGAGTCCAGGCGAGCTTGGACGGAAAACATGATGGAGGCGCCGCGTAAAGCGGCGTCCAGCCGCTTTTGAGAGGGAGTGAGGGAAGCCTGCGCAATTAGCGCTTGGGCGACGGAGGCGCGCTCGCTGGAGCGACGGCGGGAGAGCATGATGGGGACGCAGAGAAGGGACGGCAAGGGCGGTAGCTTAAGATGGGAGACGGTTAGAAAGGAGGACGAGTAGGGTTGGCTGACGGCGTCACGACCGGTGAGGAATGAAGCGAAAGATGGATGCGTCTTCTTGGAATGCTTCTCCCTATGCAAGCGGGTTCTTGTGGGAGCGCGGTAACCGATAGTGCGGATTGCGGATGAGGAGGGGGGGCGGTCATTGCTGGGAAAGAGGAAAGCATGCCCCGGTTTTTTTCAACGGCATTGATAAAAGCGGCCCATGCACTATGCGATTGGATATCATGCAGTGCGTACAGTACCGGTACCGTACGTACAGTATGGTATCAGGGCCGCCTGTCCGTGCGGGCTCAGCTCAAAATCAGTGTCGCAGTGGCATACTGCACTGTACCAAGGGTACTGTATCATCATCATGGAATGCCCTGCCCACCTCTCCAGATCTTGTTCTCCATGACAATGGACAAATTGTCATGCGACGACTACCCTGGTATCCAATCGAAACCCACCGAGATCAACAAAATATTGCTTTGTGATCACAACCCTTGTTTCGTTACGTCTTCGCCTGTCCCTCGCCTACCACCTTCGATCCCAACTCGCGTCTCTCCAATCCCATCAATCGTTGCCACCCTCTCGACCCAGCAATGGCCTTCGTTCCCGTCTCTGTCGTCCTTCCATCGCCCAATCGTGCCCGCGTGGCAACCTGCTCCACTCGTCATTCCACATTTGTGCGTCGCCATGTCACACCGCGTGCTGCTCCAGCCTTCGTCCCATGCCGCGTGAGCATGTCTCAAGACGAGCGCACGTTTATTGCTCTGAAGCCGGATGGAATGAATCGCGGCCTGCTTGGCAACATTATTTCCCGTTTTGAGGCCAAGGGCTACAAATTGGTTGGCATCAAGACTCTCGTTCCTAGCCGGCAGCTTGCTGAGACCCACTATGCGTCTCTGTCGTCGAAGCCATTTTTCGCCGGCCTCGTCGACTTCATTACGTCAGGACCTGTCTGTGCTATGGTGTGGGAGGGCGCAGGCGTTGTAACTACAGCCAGAAAAATGATCGGGGAAACAAACCCGCTCTCGAGTAACCCAGGCACTATTCGCGGTGATTTTGGCGTCGATGTTGGGCGCAAGTACGCTTCCAATATCCACTTTTCAATACCCACTGCCCCTGATCAAGATCAAGACTACTTTAATTGCACGCTGCTAATCGGCTTCGTCTTTTTCTTTTCTGCTTTGTTCTTTGTTTTCTTCTGCTCTTCTCTCCGTCTCTGGCATCCTCATCCCGGTCCTGCATGAATAGTGTGATCCAGTAAGTTCTATCTTCTCTACCCAATCCGCTAGCAATTCTGTTTCGTATCTCCAAGACCAGCCCTAACTAACTTCCCGACGATCACGGTGTCAATATCGACTATTGCCACATACGTATACCTACTGCAGTGGTTCTGATGCCGTCGACACAGCGACCCGCGAAATTGGGATCTGGTTCGAACCGTCCGAACTTTGCACCTGGTCTCCAACGGCTTCGGTATGGATATATGAATAAAAGCCTATGGGGTTTTCAACAGTCTACCGCTCCGTACAAGCTATGATCTATGGCGCTGTTCTTCTAATCCGTCCACGGGGGCCGTGATATTGAATCGTCGAAAAGATCGTAACCCTTGCTTCTTGGAGAGTATGGCCTCTGTCTGCTGTCTCGTTTCTTCACTCGCGCGAACAGCCGCAGCAGGCTGCCCCTCTCTCAACCTTCGCGCGGTTTTGTGGATTCGCCCTTGATAGATGCCTTGTCGCCGGAACCATCGGACTAGGACGACGAGTCCCACGGTCATGACAAGGAGCATGAGGGCGACCCATCCGTAAAAGTAATATTGGCTCGTCGGTAGCTGTGACATACCAACTGGCAAAGGTATGTTCATTCCAAATAGCGCTGTGACCATGGTAGCAAATGATAGAAGGGTCACAATCACAGTGATAATTAAGTCAACCAATAGCAGCCGGTTTTGCATGGTGTCAAGATGAATCTCAACCAAATTCTCCGTGTCATCAATGGCAGTATTAAGAAGGCCGGCTTTAGAAGTGAGATCATCGACATTTTGCAGATACGTCTCTAGCAACATCTCCGCTTCATCATGATCAATGGGGTTCCGTGTGGCATCTGGGTTGCGTCTTTTTTCCGTGAGGTACATGTCTGCCATGTCTTCATCCTCGTCGAGGACGGACTGCAGAACGGCCTGCACCTTTCTGGCACGTGAATAGTAGTGGTTGAGCCGCTGTTCTAGGTGTCGCAATTTTTCCAACTTTTCGCTATCAATTCGATTCGGAAGGTCGAAAAGGGTGTTCCTCAAGCCTGGTTCGATCATAGAGAACTCCTTTTCGAGGACTGTGCAGGTGTATATGAGGATACCCTCCAAGGCGCGAAACTCAAAAGGGAGAAAAATATCCTCGACTTCGTTTAGAAGCCTCTTCTTGATGTATCGGATGGGCATGCGGACCTTTTCGTTGTCTGGGTCAAAGACAAACATTCTGTCATGGAGTACAATGGCACGGACGCTCTCCAAACTAACGACCATTGCATCTTCACGGACCCAGATAGCAGGCTTTGCCGTAAAAGCCGGGTCGATTTGCCGCATATCTCTAACGCTGAGGCGGTTTCCATTGCAACGATCAGTGTGTGAGTGTGCTGTATGCATGGCGGTGTACATGGAGGGACGTGGTCTGGGAGCACCTCTTCCGCGCGTATGCCTGGGTTGCCAAGGTTCTTGAGCGTGGCGATAATTGAGATCGTGGACTCGGAAGGATGGTTTGCGCTTTGGGATTCGCTGCTTAGGGTTGGAGACAGGGAGTGAGCTTTTGCGAATTTCAGCGAGGATGTCTTGGCGGGTGTTAACACGGGTGGTGCAATTTCCGTCCATGTCAAATTGGAGGAACTTTAGACATTGGTTGCGACGGGCAAAAGGAAGTAGGGTGTGACCGTCGGTGGTAAGGGTATGGGAGGCGGTTGTCTGGGAGGGTGAGACAGTGAAGGAGTCGAGAATGGATTGGGGCTTCATCTCAGCTCGAACATAGTCGCCAAAATTGGGGCAAGCGATAGGGGAGGTAGGACGGGAAGATGGGGCGTCAGAGGAAGTGTGAGATGGACGGTGCGGCGGGCGGAAGCGGAGGCGGGAGAGGTTAGAAAAGAAGGAAGTGCGCACCGGGGCGTTAAGGGAGGAATAAGAGCTCGAGCGACGCATGGCGGGGACGCGGGGATTGCGGAGATGAGTTACATTGCCGAAGGACGTCTAGGAGACAGGGGGTAGTTGAAAGAGGGGGAGGGTCGCGCTAGCTGTGACGGGCGAAGCGGTGGTGGGGTCAATGAAGGCAGCGTGGGGGACAGGGTCGAGCGGAGGGTGGGCGAGGGACGGGGTTGTCCTTAGTTGTCAACAAGCTCTTTATCATACGCGATATGCACCGTGATTTAAATACAATTCTCAATAAAGTCAATTACAGTAGGCGGCAGAAGAGGCATTGAATTTGTTGAGAAACTCAAAATAATGCAACCCATCACAATACCCCACATGTCCCGTCCACATGTCCCGTCAATTAACTCAAAAACCGTAACTCGACGTCGAGAGTGTCCCCACTGTACGGTGTGGTACGGAGCAAAGGATTACTTGAAACATTTTCCGAGTTAACCTTTACTTGTAAATGTTTATTCGACGACATACAGTAAAAGTCTAGTCACAACTCTGGGCGAGTAAACCTCTACTTGCAACCCTTAACTCGACATCGAGTGAAATTCGCTTGACACCGAGTTAATGGTTCACTCCAGCATTTTGGCGAGTTAACCTTTACTATGTCCAACACTGACGTACTGTAAACTACACTTTTTAATTTAATGTTTCCTTACTTACACCAGAGGTGTGTGCCGCTGGTTTAACTTAATATGTTCGTTATCATATACTGTACCATGCATCTTTATTTACAACAGCGCTGAGACCCGCGAGGGATGGCTCTGGTTGGTAGATGTATGAGAGAGCGGCCGGCGTCCAGGGGGAAAGGGAACTGAGATGGATACAGGTACAGTATAGCACAGGGGGGAGAGGGGAGGGGGCACGAGGACGAATGAAATAAATGACACGTGGACGGGTGCATATATTGGAGAAGGAGCGGAAAACGAAGCGTGTATTTACTGTCGCGGACAAGAAATTCTGAAACGCGAGTGGGGTGCTGGAGATGGGGAAATGGGAGTTTTAAATGGGAGAGAAATTTAATAAGAATATAGTTGTATGGTAAATAATAATATTGGACGTGACGGAGGCACGGGGAGGAAACTTCAAGACGCAATAGGATGGGGCGGTTGGGACGGGCCCGATGGGCGGTGGACTAGCGGTGGACCGGTTGGTGGAAGGGCGTGAGACGTGGAAGAAATGGAGGGACGGTTCATCCACAAGAGCGGGCAGCGGCCTTAGTTGCTACAGTAGTGCCAGCAGGTTGCCAGCAACCACTCAGCTTCCACTGTCGGCAGCGGGTGCTTACACTGACGGACGCACACGTCACATGCGGATGGGCACGCCTCCCAGCACGGTTGTAACGGCAGCGGCGTGAGGCGAAGATTAGGATTAAGAATTGCGGATTTGGGGGAAAGTTTTGCGGAAAGTTGTGCGAGTGCAAGCGCGGATTCATTGGTCAAACTAGCCGTTGTGCGTCCTGGCCATGCCTTGGATGAATTTTCTGTGTGCAGCGGTGGCGAAAATTTGCGCCATTCTGCACCGAGTGACGAAAATGCACGCATCGTGCGCTCATGCGCCCGGTCTGCTGCGCGTCACGTCCAATCATTGCGCGCTCACCTATTTTTTTTTTCCCTTTTTCTTCCCTTTTTCTTCGGCGCTACACGCTGCCCCGGCGGCAAAAGCCCGCCGCGGCCCGCTTCCGCCCGCGGTCCGCACATGCCTCGCAAGCGCCCGCCCCTGGCAACATCGGGGTCCGCCCATTCCCAGCACCCTCCCTGTCGCTTTTCTTCGCATGCACCCAAGTCAAGCCACGCACTGCACACGGTGCCCCGCACCCCACTGCCCCCCCCCTCCCCCCCTCCTCCTCCCCACCACCGCACTCAACACGCACTCCTATTCCACAAACCCTGCCCTCCATCAACTTGCTCATCACGTTCCCACCCGTCTTGTTTCTCACCCTCCCCGCCGTCACCTCCTCCCCTTCACCTTCCCCACCTTGCATCCCTAACTTCTTGCCTACTCCCCAACTCCGCTCCCCTTCCCTCCCTCGTCCCCCCCGCCCCCCGGTCCACTTCACCACCTTTCCGCCAAGTAACATCGAAGCAACTCAAGCACCCCCATTTTGTTGTCGCTCTTCCGCGCAAGGCGAAAGCATGACGCCGTCGCGCGACATGTCCGCCTCCGCCTCCACCATCCCGGAGGGGCGCTCTCTCTACCTGCCGCCCATCTCCACTTCCGCCAACATAAAGGATGGTTCCCCCTCCGACTCTGCCCAGCCCGTCGTCTTCGCGGTCAAACTCACAGAAGAAATGGTCTCCACGCTCGTCGCCGGCGCCGCCACCGATGACGCCTCCATCCACCTTGCTGAAAGCCATGCCGTCCTCAACATGCCCAACCACGATCCCTTCAAGTTTACGCTCCGCCCCATTGGTGAGGGCGACGATTCCCGCCGCGCCGTCTGTTATTCTAGAAACGCCACAGACCTACGCGCCGTCGGCCCCATCGTTGCAGACCTAGACCTTGAGCGTGCGAATTCCGTGGACGCCAGCTCCGTTGCAAAGATACGTGCTGCAGATGAGCGAGACAAGAGCAAGAAACGCGGAATGAAACTGGCTGATGATATTGCTCCAACCGCAAGGAAGAGACGCAAGACCGTCGAAAAGCGTCCCCGTCCCGCCCCAAAGATGCCCAAGAGCAGCCCAATTGTCTCGCCCGGTCGTGGCCACAGTGCAAACAACACCCCCCCGAGAGCCCGCCCAAATGGAAGGCCTAGAGCAACACCCACCGCCTCTGCTGCAGTTCCACCTTCATCGGCACCGCGACGCATTTCTCCGCAGACTAACTCCCAGATGTCCGGTCTCTTTGGCAATGGCAATCTCCCGGAAATGACCGAGAGGGTTCGACCCGGTGCATCAACCACCCGACGCTCTGTCACTCCACCAAAATTTCGCTCCTCCCCGTACGGTTCTCGAAGAACATCTCCGCTCCCTACCAGCGCCCATTCGCCTTCCAGCCCCAAAACGGGAAATCTCAGAGCGAAAAGCGAGGATATTGACGAGCTGCGAGTCAATGTCATGCACATCTTGGCGTCCCATCCGCGAGCGTTTCACTCTCTTTCCAGCCGCGTTATTGAAAGCGATGCACCTCCAGAGGTGAAGGAGGACCTGAAGAGTGTTTTGCAAGAAGTCGCTACATGCAAAGACGGTATTTACACGCTCAGGGGGCATTGCTGGGCGAAAATCTCCGAAGACTACCAGGAATATACGCACGCCGAGCGAACGCAAATGAGAATCGCGCGATCCGAATGGGACAGTGTAAACGGTACGAATGATGTGAGGTCCATCACAGACGGCGTAATGACGGACGCCCAGCTCGATTCCGAAATCAGATCGTTCCAAAAGGCAAAGACAGATGATAATGTTGGGAAGATTTCCAGTGAGAGAGAAGAGAAGGAGTTTCGCAAGACCTTTGAGAAGTGGTATCCTTTATACGCAGAAGTTATTAACCGTCTAGAGAAAATGTCCAAGATGTTTAAATCCTTGGATTCGCGCTTCAAGGAGCGTCGCTCGGCTGAAGAACGCGATAGCATCGTGAAGAGAATTACGACAGCGTACGAGAAACATAAGAAGCGGCGAGAGGAATTGATCACGGTTTTACCATTACTGCACGGAAACCTGCGTTCTATCCGTAGCGCCCTGGACAAGTGGGCCAAGGACGCGATGATGGATATGGACTAAGTGTCCAATTGGTTTTTACGTCGCGTTTGTTTTGTTCTTTTTTGATTGTGTCGTTAGCAAATACTTGATTCCCTTCATTGGACGACACAGAAATTTGTAGAGAGTGTCGAGACCTAACCTGTAACACCCAACACTTGCTTTTGTAAAAGTTGCAATCATGCATGCAGAGATGGTTGCGGCTTGAAGTCCAGCTTTCGCAACAAACAGGGCAACTTTTTTTTTTTCCGTATAAATCGACCAGCCGCTCAGAGGCTGTTCAAACCGGGTGGAGTGGACCGGGTGGAGTGGATTCGAAGACATGTTCACGGCGAATTCAATGGTTTCTCCCTCTGCGCACTTCAGGTTAGGATTGTGGAAATTACCAGACGAAGAAGAGGCATTTTAAAGGAAGGCCCCATCAGTGTTATATGATTGGTTGAAGCAGCAATGCTTACAAAGCGATCTCGAGTGTTTTTATCTGACAGTAAATTACAGAACACGCACAGTATGATTGCGCAGTTATGCCAACTGTGCTAGGGGTGTTGACAACGTCTTGCGAACTTGGCGCCGTCTGCTCACATGGCGTCGCGGGTAAAGAGCAGCAACGTGATCCACCTGTGAGAAAAGGGTGCTCCTTCCTAGAAACACTGACAGCAAACGGTGGTTGTGCACGACAAATCGCGCCGTGCGGCTGTCGAGCTACAGTTGTGCACAACATCCATCAGTTTTGTGTGACGGAACCGAAATCTTACCGGAGCTCAAACGTTGCGATTTTGTTTTCTAGCGGACCCCGTACATGGAAGAACGGGAAGAAGCGGGCCGGTCCGCTGGTGAGGTGCCGTCGCTGACCGAATCTACTCTTCCGAAGGAACGCGTGCCGATAAGCTGTACAAAGGCGTTCGACAGCTTGTATTTTTGCTACTCCCCTTTTCATCAAGGTCGTGAGTACTACATAACGGGACAACTGGATGATTGCCGCGGTCGGTTAAAGCGCTTTCGAATGTGCGTGATGTCGCGCTTCAGGCCGCAGGCGGTTTCTGAGACTATTTATGCGGAGGAAGAAACGAAGGAAAGCTCTGGAAAGAGCAACGCACCGCCGGTGTGGGAATCAAGTGAAGAATACCTCGCAAACGTGGAGAAGGCCGAGCAGGAGGAAAGGAGGGAAACCAAGATACAAAGAGAAGGAGAAGCTAAAGAAGGGGCCCAATGGTGGCTGTGAACGACAGCGCCACGCGTGAATGCTGTTCAAAAGCAAAAAAACTCTCCTTGACCTTGGCTCGGGCCTTTTACCTCTATCATGCACGGTTTATCACATACAGTTTTCGTTTCATTCTTGACGCGGCACAAGCTCCTTGTCAAAGTTCCTCCCTCTGGCCACATGTCACCGCAGGGAAGCACAGATATGTATATATTAAAGTTGCATTTACTTTGTCGAGCCGCTCGCAAACGTTTTTGTACGCAACGAGCTCTGGAAAAGTACCCGTCCAGGATATATCCTATGCATCATGCTGTCAGGCCCAGTACTACTCTTGCTGCTAGTAGTACCTCCGTACACAGGAACCAATCGGGGACGATATTCAAAATGGGCATAAAACGCCCTGATCTGGAGCGGCAATGCAACCCGGGTTGAACAAAATCAGACCCCTTACATGCGAGAACGGCGGTCCGTATCTACTTCTCGTCGTAAACGTAGTCCCGAAGCACTGCGTTGCGGTTGGGGTGTCGCAATTTTCTCAAGGCCTTGGCCTCGATTTGGCGAATTCTTTCGCGAGTCACGGCGAATAGGCACCCAATCTCCTCCAACGTCTTCATTTTGCCATCATCAAAACCGTATCTCATCCTGACTACATCACGTTCCCTCGGACTGAGGGTGTTCAAAACATTCTCCAGATCCTCACGAAGAAGTGATTTCATGGTGGATTCCTCTGGGGTGTCCCCTTCCCAGACGATGAAAGACCCGAGCGTAGCGTTCGACTCCTTGCCATCTCTGCCAATTGGGGTTTCCAGGCTAATTGTAGCTCTGGCAGACGTCGAAAGAAATCGGAGCTTTTCAATAGATATTTGCAAGCGCTCGGCGATTTCCGTTTCCGTAGGCGAACGGTTCATCTCGGTGCTCAATAGTTTGGTGGCTTTCTTGATCGCGGCGATGGTATCGTTGACATGAACGGGTAACCGAATCGGTCTGGAGTGATCAGCAATGGCTCTGGTGATAGCCTGTCGAATCCACCAGGTAGCGTAGGTAGAAAACTTGAAGCCTTTGTTGCCATCGAACTTCTCCGCGCCACGAATGAGTCCAATGCTACCCTCCTGAATGAGGTCTTGGAAACTGAGTCCGCGATTGAGATACTTCTTCGCAATTGACACGACAAGCCTCAAATTAGCGGCAACCATGTGCTCCTTTGCACGAAGGCCGCGTCGCAAGGTCTCACGGAAGACTTCGATATTCATGTCGGCGGCCGCAGCCCATTCCGGAATGGCGGGCTCGAAGCCGTTGGCATCCTTCAGGGTAGCAGAAATTCTCTCGAGCTCAAGAAGCTTCGCGATCTCCCTCGCCAAATTAATCTCACTCTCAGCATCCAGAAGCTTAACTTCGCCGATCTCGTGAAGGTAGCGCCGAATAGAATCGTCGGTGGCCGGGCCGTTACGACGGGTGGTGGATCGCTTTCTCTTATCTTTCGCTGCTTTGACGGCGTTCGTCGCGTCGGTAGAGTCGGTATTATATTCTGTGACATACGGCTCGGGCGGGGCGAGAATCTGTTTCGGAGCTCGCGGCTGGCGCTTTTGCCGGCGTGTGGTCGTCGAGGGGCGACCACGTGACGGGCGGGTCGTACGACGGGTGGCAAGGTCGTGGTAGTAGTACTCACGATGGCTGTCACGGACGAGATGGTCAACGGCAGCAACAGCGGAGCGGGCCATGGCGGCGGCCTTTGTGCGGCGGTTGGGCTTCCTTGGGATGTAGTGTGGGGGGTCCGTGGGAAAAGCGGCTGGAGGTTCGGGGGTGAAGGCGGAGGGATCAGTCGGGAAGGCGGGCGAGTCCGGGGAGGGGGTGTCGGGGGTGAAGGCGGAGGGATCAGTTGGAAAGGTGGACGGGTCCGGGGAGGCGGTGAAAACGTCCGGGGTTGATGGAGGCGTGGATGGAGGGGCAACGATGTGGGAGGGTTTAGGGGGTGCGACAGTGAGCGGGCGAGTTGGTGGGGCGCGGATCATAGTCGGAACCTTGTGCGAGGTCGCCGGATGGTTTGCGCGGGCGGCGCGCAATGGCAGGCCGGGGGCGGGGACGAAGGCCAATGCTGACCTAGACGGAGGGGAAGGATGCATTGCAGCGGGAGGTGGCGGGCTGCAGAAGGGAGGTTAGATGTGGAAGAAGAAGAGAGAAGAGAGGTCTGTCGTCGGGGGGCGGTGTCTAGATAGAGATGATGTCCTCCGGCGTACAACGTGGGGGAAGTCACAGAGTTGGTAGCGAAGGGCGGGGCGGGGCGAGGGGTGAGCTCGATTCGGGCGGATCGAGGGCGGCAGGCTCGCTCACAGGCGCGAGAGGGCAGGCGGCGGTTTGAGGGCCTGAGATTGTGATTTTCTCAAGTTTTTTGCCGCAGCGGACGAAGAGTTGCTGCGCGGCGCGCCATGAATGGCCAGCGCACAGAACGGGTTTTATTGGGGGACGCCATTGGACGAGGCGGGGGCGGTACCAGACGATATCTGGCGGTGGATTAAAGTATGATGACTGCGCCTCGCAAACACCAAAGTGGAGCTCAAATACAGGTGCTCAAGATTTGTAGGCCGCCAACCCTAAACCAAATACAGTCAGTCCAGGCTGTACGATGCTGAGCTCACATGCGTTCCTAATTGGCTCAGATCGCTTCCTTGGGTGTACCGCCGTCGGTACATTTTCATCAGTCTCCATTTCGGAATTTGTGATCTCGCTGGTGTACTGCCGAAGGCAGTTACCATTACAGTAGGCGTTGGCACAGATTTACAGTACAGCAGTACTGTAGAGCGTTTTGTTGATTGCTTTCGTCCTCCTTTTTCTTAGCGAACATGCTCTCCGGCGACTCGTTCGATCAAGATTGATGGGTAAAGTTGAACGGGGGTCGGGTAGCTTTGAGGAGTTTCCTCGTCCTTTTTACTTTTCCTGCGTAGCCTGCCTGAAACCCTGGATTACCATGCGCTCTAGTGACATCGTTGGGATGGGAAGTTCCCATTAACTAAAGGAACAGCACGTTCCAAGACGCCGAAGGCTCGTAAAGGATTTTGCTGTCCAACTAACATGCAGGCAAGCTCTGCAGAAGCTATTAAGACACTCGACAAAGTGCCGCCGGTATCCCGCTGTACCCTCCAGCATGTGTCAAGCATATACTGTACTGTGGGCACGGGTACACGGAGACACGGGGGAAGCATGAGGAATTTAGAGGGGAATAAAGCACGAGTAAACTGTGCCTCTTCTCACGAAAGCAGTGCCTTAACCAATATGCCGGCGCTTATTACCAAGTGCCATAACACAATTGGATATAAAAGCACTATCCTTGCCATGTTGGGCTGCCAACTCGCCTAAGGTTCTGTTAAGCCCATCTGGTACTGTAGTCTGGTGTGTTGTCGACATCAGCTGTGGAGACGTGGGCCCGGGCACGTGTGCACCGCACTTTTGTGCATGCTGTTGAAAACTTGAGAAAGGTATGCAGTGTGTTGTTATTTTAACCCAATTCTTGATTTTTGAAGCGCCCGGCCCAAAACCGAGAGTGGAGGGGGTGGTCCGATTCTGTGGCGCATTCGGGCCCCGCCAACAAGGCAATGGCAGATGAAACACAATTTGGTACGGGTGGCGACGGGTGGCGAAAAAGCGCCCTTTTTTCACCGGCCCACACATCTTGCACCCTCTTGCAATGGGACGCGTGCCGCGTTGTCAGATGCCTTCACCGCTATTTTTTGCGCTTTTCTTCGTTTTGAACCGCCCGCATCAGGCATCAGACCCCCTGTCCCGCCCCTCTGCCCGTGCCTTGTTTTCCAAGCCTCGCTGAGGCCCGCACCCCTTTCCTTCACACCCGCGCTATTATTTATTCTTTTCCTCCTGCCCACACCGCTCAACGCCCCGACCCAATCCCCCCTCAACCAAAATAAACGCCCTTCCCTACCTCCTCCTCCCCGGCGTCACAGTAACTGGCTTAAGATTGAGTTTGTTTCTTTTGGCAAACCCAACATTACCCCACTCGCGATCAGCACAA